CTTCTTTTTGCACATATTCTCATCACCGTGCACATGCGCTACGATACCGCCCCTCCTTAATTCATATTTCTTATATCAAATGATTATATAAGTTAATCGATTTGATTTCTGTACGAATGAATTCTTACCTTAACGTAAAGTTCACGATGACTATACAGCTCACAATGAAAGGCAGTCGTCGAGCCGATTCTCAGTTTTAGATTTATAAATACTTCATAGATTGAAAGCCTCTTTATAAGTCTTTAGCAATGCACGTAAAATGAACTTTTGTTAAATGGTACAACATGATGTACGTAAAATACGGGCATCGCATGACATCGAAAAATGTACGTCGATCAACAATAATTAAAGGGATTAGTCCAGATTCATAGCTCACGTACGAGGCATTGTTTGAAGGTAATATTAAAGGAGCATATTGTAAACGCTGGATTGGACTTTGGACTGGACTTTGGACTAAAATTTTAGTTTTTTTACCATCTAAAATATAATACACGCTATTTTATACCATTAACATTTTTATTCTTGACATTGGTTGGTACAATTGGTTGACAGTTCATAAATCCAATAATATATAAACTATAGATAAACTAGACGACCAATAGTAAAACTAGGGCAGAAAGTGAGTCTATTTTTAACCATTAATTGAACGTTGTACGAGTTTCTGCAAGGGCATGTTTACCGAGTGGGAGAAAAACACCCGTTTCTTGCCATCGTGCAGACCTTTTGTTGAATAATGTTTTTTTGTCTGATTTTATAATGAAAATTTCTAAAAAACACAAGTCAATTCCTCTTATGTATATGTAACATATCTAATTGCATATGTAAATATGTATACGTATGCGTCTAGATCTTTGTTTATAGATTGATGATTGTAATGTTTAATAACATGAAACATAAAGTTGTTGCATTTTTGAGTCGTCTTATACAAGGAAGGCACGGGAGGGCTGGAGTTTTCAAAGTAATTTTTCCCCAAAAAATCTGTGGCCCTCCCCGGTAATTCTAAAACTAAACTTTTGACTCTCCCATACCAAAAATGCTGATGCTCCACCCCCAATCGCACGCATACAAATCTCATTCTATCAAAGTTCACAGAAAAAGCATGCCATTGTTCACACTAATGAGATGGGCAAAGCCAATTGAAGTTTGGTGATACTCCTTTATGTCGATGGGACCACTAAAATGATTCGTATGGTTCTACTGCAAAGATCAGTTATAAAGTTTGAATAGAACCACAGGTATCATATAGGTTAAAACTAATCAATATTTTTAAAACTTGAAATCAATATTTTTACGCCTGGATACAAGTCTTTCCTTCTTACTGTAATCAGCCTCTTTGACCTTGTGATGTGAATCGTCTAGTGAGCCAAAGGTATTTCCCGTTCTACGCCTGAATGCAGGTCTTTCCATTGTAATCATCTTCTTTGGCCTTGTGATGTGTGAATCGTCTAGTGAGCCAAAAGTATTTCCCGCTATACGCCTGAATGCAGGTCTTTCCTTCTCACTGTAATCATCTTCTAGTCTTCTAATACACTCAACAACCACTTTGTACTTGTAACATGATTCGTCTGGTGAGCCAAGGGTCTTTCCTTGGCTCCCACACGCAGTTATTTCTTCATAACTTTTCACAAGGCCTAGACACCAGCAGGCAGTTCTTTCGTCCTCACTGTCAACAAGCTCTTTGTACATGCTTGGCACCCGTACATGGCATTCTATGGCATTGTAACATGAATCATCTGGTGAGCCAAGGGTCTTTCCTTGGCTCCCACACGCAGTTATTTCTTCATAACTTTTCACAAGGTCTTTGGACTTGTTCAACCTCCGTTCATGGTAATCAATGGCCTTGTCTAATACCCATGAATAATTGTTACTTTCAGATTCGTTCCAGAGGAGGGCCTTATTAGCTTTCCTACTTTTGTTTGTTGACACTGACTGAGGAGTTTCATCGTTCTTTCGCATTTTTTTATGGTTACATTCAGCATTTTGGCATTCTCTTTTGCCATTGCTTGGGATGCTACTGAGGCAGTCAACCATCAAGGTATCATCAACGGCAATTAGATCTAATCTATCATCTTCTGTACTTGGGAATTGACAACTTAAATTGACTAATTCACATATTTTCTTACCGTTGTTGTCTTTTTTTCCATGGCTTGGGATGCTACTGCAACGATCACTCAGTAAGGCATCGCGTGCACGTCGATAGTCATCTTTTGACATTGTGACGGAGATGCCAACACTATCCGTACCAGGGGGGGCCTGTTGTATCAGCTCTTCTGTAACTATGACCTCATGAAGGTTCTGTTCCATTTCCCCTCCGTCGATGCAACTAACATAAACAACAATAAGTTACGAAAAAAGGCCCCGTTGTATCCAGGTGTAGCTGTGTGTGAGTTGTGATAGCGTGGGGACTAGTAAAAATGAATGTGGACATCAAGAGGGTTTCCAGATTTAAGGAACCGAGCTCTCGCTATAATTATTAAGTAATGGCATATTCTTCATACAATGATGCTTTAATTTGTGCAAATTGAAGTGGGTAACAGTTTATCGTATTTATCGATGCCTAACATTTTGGGTTAATGTACATGAAATCATACAAACCTTTTCCATAAGTAGTCCAACGCAGCTATAGAAGTAACTTTGACTTTGATTATAATTGAGCCACGTAATATGCCAACCACAGTCGCACCCATTGCGAGTGTACCTGGTATGATAGCATGCCAAACCAAGTCTATCACTATTTCTGGATCATCCTTATAGCGGTTTAGGAAATAGGTGCATCCTGCTGCCCAGCCTATAGTCACTGCTCCAGCAGCAAAAAGCTTGAACTTAGTCTTAATGTCGATTGTAACGGATGGTTCTATTAAAGTTAACAATAAACAATAAAAACAAATTGATAGAGTTACCTCTGTCAGTACTACCTTTCTTGCTTAGCGTGATAGGATAGCAAAATGATTATCGATGAAGTCGGCGACTAGGGGAATCACCGAAAATCACTAAGCCTTAGGCGAGTACACTGGGGAGAGATGGGAAGGGAGGAGGGAGGTTCATAATGCGGCAAAGAAGCCAAAAAGAAGGCATTACGGAGCGCATGTACACAAAAGACCGAGGTCTTAATTTTACCATACCGACCGAGCAAACGAGGTTAATAAATTTTATATTATTTGAATTTTTTTATACATCGAAAAGCAAAATGGAAACAGCGAGTCCTTTCGCTAGTCAGAATAATGGAATTCGCTTTAAAAATGCTCTTCCTCGTCGCTTTCTCTGCCTGTCGGGCCTCGTTTTTCTCGTATTATACCTAAGTCGTATTATCTAAGTCACATAATAAATTATAATATAAATAACATGTCCATACATATATGAAAATGGAATTTTGTTTTGATGCATGACTAATGTCTTGTCGTATCATATGACTACGAAACCTATATTTTTTCACTATTTTTCTGGATTTGATCGAACAGAAAACAATTTAAGTGCCATCGTGATAAACGTACCAGATTCGTCAAGCTTCTGTTTCACATCTTTGAGCTCTGTCTTTATAAAGTTTATGTCTTCAGCTTGCTGCGTCTCTGCCTCTTCTCTTGACCTGAGAAGCTCGTGATAGTGTTTTTCCATCTCGGGATCCACTGATCCAACCTTGATATTCTGAATATCTTCTTCGTACTTAGTCCCCCCTCCAAGTCTGATGAGAGCATCTTTTATTTCATCCCACTTTTTCTCAAAATCCCCCTCGGTCAACGCCAGGTTGGTGCGATGGTATAGATCATTACGACATTGCCTTATGCGAACTATATCAGCTACTTGGCTTTTATCTGTTGGCAATGGTTGACGTATCCACTTTGGACTGGCTATGCTGCAAATATTCCTTAAAAGTATGATGAGCAAGGAGATGTCAAAGTTGGTTGAGCTGACACCTCCTGAGCTTGGATAGAGAATGTCCATTTGGGATTGATAAAGTACGTTTTTCTTTTGAAGCTGGCGGAGCTCGTTTTGTACTTTAGGAGTTGAAAGGACACCTGGTAGATTGGTTGGCAGATGAATTGCATCAAAGACATCTTGAAGTACAGGCCTTCCCACTTTGACGAGAAGCTTACAAAGCTTGAGGTAATAAGTCTTTTCCTGCGGGAGTGGAGCCGCAGATTTCTTTGATAATAGCGGTGGCATTGTAGACATGACAAAGTTTGCACCTATAAAAAGAAGTTGGATTGTTATATACTTGAAACCGGAATTTAACGCCCATCAATTTTACCAATTCTACCGAAACATTGATTTTTGGTGGACACTTATCTTTCCCTGATCAATCAATCACGTCGTTATTTGGACTTCCCTTGATGCATCGCGAACCGAGAAACGAGTATGAGAAACAACTGGGTACGAGTCTGAGAAAATTAATTTAAAGACATACGTACTGAAATGGTTGAATTGGATGATGATCACGATCAAAAAGATTGAAGGCGATGGGAGCAGGATGTTTTATAGATATGTAGTTTCCCTAAGCCTTGAATTATGTTACGTATAGTTATTCGACTATAGCAATTAATTGGGAAGGAAGCCATTACTAAGAACCTAAATATAAATATAATCTTACTGCTCGGGATGACATGATGGAAAAATCTATAAAAACTAAGTTCTTGTACGCGTAGCCATTCCGAGAGAGTTTGGGCCTGAGCGGCAGGAACGCCTGACAACACTGGCTAAATGTGCATGTAAGCATATTTTTTGTGCTTCTTTGACACATTCTAAAATCAGTATTAAAGGTATGGTAATATGGTATAATTATTTTAGAGAAGTGAAACAACTTAATAGTCATAGCCTTACAAGCATTTAATGTACAATTGAAATAAAAAATGTGCATAACGACGTGTTCAGTCGAGACTTTCAGCGCTGACAGATACGACGTACGCGATGGATGACGGAGCGATAGCTAGAGGTTCTCTAAATTACACTAATTTAACTCTCAGTATGCAGACACTATGGCCTACAACGCAAAACAATATACAAGGTTGTATCGAGTAAAATATGTGAAGGCGCGCGTTTGCTTCGTGAATCAGAGAATGTTTCAAACACTAAAATCCTAAAAAGAAAGTCACAGGCACTGTACACTCTTCTCCTTTTTGCACATATTCTTATCACCGTTTACATCACCTACGTGATTTCGTATAAATTCTTATTGCAAATGTTGCATAAGTTAAGCGATTTGATTTCTGAACGAATGAATTCTTACCTCAAAGTAATGTTCAGGATGACTCGCTCTCGACCCGACGAAAGACGGCGATCGAGCCGATTCTCAACGATAGATTTAGACTCATTAAAATCTTTAACTTTTGTTAAATGGTACAACTGTTAAATACGGGACTCCGTTACTTTCTTGCAGGTAGCCAAAACGTTGTTGAGGGCTTTGGTTTCGGCAGCGAATGCATGAAACAACTAAGACCCCTGTCGTTGGTCATTCAGACGGACAAAACCTTTGTCATGCAATCGTGCTTTGAAGCGACTGATTGGTCTGTGTTGCCCTTATATGACCTTTGCGGTTTTTGACGTTTCCAGAGTCACAGCAAGTCCCGAGATCAACTTTCCCTCTTATCAAAGAAGGTAAAAAACATTTTGGCTTGATGATCCCATTTTGATGGCAAATACTTTGATCTCTGATCTCAAATTTCGGTTCAAATTGATCCCTGTTCTTCCAAAATTGAGTGATCCTGTGATTTCTATTACAGCTGATCCCTGATATTGATCGCAGTACATGTGTCGTTCCATCCCAAAAGCTAAAATCGTGATCCCTGATCGACAAGTTCTGATTCTTGAAAATTGTATAATCTTACTGCTCAGGCTGACATGAAAAAATCTATAAAAACTATATTATTCTTGTACGCGTAGCCGTTCCGAGAGAGTTTGCAGGGCCTGAGCGGATAGGAACACCTGTCAACGCTAAAAGTGCATGTAAGCATATATTTTTGTGCTCCATTGGCACAATCCAATTCTCGATTGTTTTTGGCDGTATTAAAGGAATAAAAATATGGTATACTTCATTTAGAGAATTGAAATAACTCAGTTCCTAGAATTCAMGTGTATTTTATCACATTTATCACATAAAACTTGCCAAGAGGAGAGGTTTGCATCGAGAATAAGAGAGTTTCTATAACAAATATACTAAAAGGATGTCACACAGGCACTATAAACTTATTTTCTTCTTTTTGTACATATTCTCTTATCACCTTGCAAATACGCTACGCTATCGCCCCTCCCAAATTCATATTTCTTATAGCAAACGGTTAGATAAGTTAAGCGATTTTGATTTCGATCTGTACGAATGAATTCTTACCTCAAAAGCAATTTGTCAGGATAACTCGCCAACAATAAAGACGGCGTCCGATTCTCAATTTTAGATTTCTAAACACTTCGTAGATTGAAAACCTTTTCATAGGCCTTAAGCAATTCACGTAAAATAGATTTTTTTTTAAATTTTAAATGCGGGGCTAAGTTACAGCTCCTTTGCAGGTCGCCAAAAAGTTGTAACTAAGTGCTTTGCTTTCGGCCAGCGATCGTGAAACAAACCTCATTGGTCATTCACAAAACTCCTGTAATGCAATTGTGAATTGTAGCGACTGATTGGTCTGTGTTGAMTATGGCGTACGAAACCGTTCAAAATTAATTGGGCTTATTATCGATATGTCGTCGCTGTCTTCTCAACATCTTTTGTGTAAACCGAATTTGTTTTTCAGCATCATGACAGACTTCGATTCACTATATATTTGTRTATTGAAAAACAGAGATAATCAGCACCGAGTAATATATATTACAAGGGCGGAYCCAGCTGAAAGTTTAGTTGGGGAAGGCTTAGTTGTTAAAAACATGATTGAAAATGATAAAAAGCAGTTAACCGAAGGAATTTCAAACCATAGTTCTTACTTYAAAGTTGCCACTGTATTGTAAGCAACTTTATATTTCGATGCTTCCAGGTTTGTACGCTCAATGTCTACCATTTAACACACGCCAACTAGTATAACTGAGTGGAAGTTAAGATAAACTGATTAGAAATGAAATGAAATA